GAAGTTAGAATAAAAATGAAAATGAAAGTTGCATTAAATATTTAAAATGAAGTTCAATCCAGAACAACTATACCTTAATCGATTTCTATTTTGTAATTAAATAAATAAGGAAGTTGCATCCAGAAAACCATTTACCACACTAACGATCTTATTTGCGAAATTAAATAAAAAAAGAAAACAGTATTAACAGAAAAGGTAAAAATTGGAAGAAAAATGAAGTTGGAATTAAAAATAAAATGAAAGTTGGCATAAAATTAAAAAATCCTTGAAGTCATCCAAAAACCACTATACCTTACGATCGTATTGGGAAGTTAAAAAAAAAAGAAGTTTTAGTTAGAAAAAGAACTGAATGAAAAAGAAAGTTAAATAAAAATAAAAATGGAAAGTTGCAGAGAAAATTAAAAATGGAAGTTCATTCAAAAAAACCACATATACCTTAACGATCTTTTGGAAATTAAATTAAAAAAAGAAGTTTAAAGAAAGCTAAAGTTGAATAAAAATGGAAGTAGAATAAAAATAAAAAGAAAGTTGCATAAAATAAGAGGGGAAGTTCATCCACGAAACCACTATATTCTTAACGTATCTGTTGCAAATTAAATAAAATGAAAGTTTAATAGAAAAGCAAATTGACATTAAAAATGGAAAGTTGAATAAAAATAAAAATGAAAGTTGCCGAAAACTTAATATGGAAGTTCAATCCAGAAGAAACCACTATACGCCTTAACGCATCTATTTGGAAATTAATAAAAAAGGGAAGTGTAATAGAAAAGTAAATGATAAAAAATGGAGGTTGAATAAAATAAAAATGAAAGTCAATCCAAAAACCACTCATACCTTAACGATCCATTTGGCAAAATTAAATAGAAAAGGACAGTTTAATAGAAAAGTGAAATTGAATAAAAATGGAAGTTGAAATGAAAATAAAAATGAAAGTGGCCATAAAATTAAAGAAATGAAAGTTTCAATCAAAAACCACTATACCTTAGTGATCTACTTGGAAATTAAAATGAAAAAGGACGTTTAATAGAAAAGTTAATTGAGAATTAAAATGGAAGTTAAAGTTGAATAAAAATAAAAATGAAAGTTGCATAAAATTAAAAATGGAAGTTCAATCCAGAAACCACTTTACCTTAACGATTTATTTGGAAATTAAATAAAAAAGGAAGTTTAATAGAAAAGCAAATTGAATAAAAATGGAAGTTGAATAAAAATAAAAATGAAAGTTGCAGAAAATTAAATATGGAAGTTCAATCCAGAAACTACTATATCTTAACGATCTATTTGAAAATTAAATAAAAAAGTAAGTTTAATAGAAAGGTAAATTGAATAAAAATGGAAGTTGATTAAAAATAAAAATGAAAGTTGCAGAAAATTAAATATGGAAGTTCAATCCAGAAACTACTATATCTTAACGATCTATTTGAAAATTAAATAAAAAAGTAAGTTTAATAGAAAGGTAAATTGAATAAAAATGGAAGTTGATTAAAAATAAAAATGAAAGTTGCAGAAAATTAAATATGGAAGTTCAATCCAGAAACTACTATATCTTAACGATCTATTTGAAAATTAAATAAAAAAGTAAGTTTAATAGAAAGGTAAATTGAATAAAAATGGAAGTTGATTAAAAATAAAAATGAAAGTTGCAGAAAATTAAATATGGAAGTTCAATCCAGAAACTACTATATCTTAACGATCTATTTGAAAATTAAATAAAAAAGTAAGTTTAATAGAAAGGTAAATTGAATAAAAATGGAAGTTGATTAAAAATAAAAATGAAAGTTGCAGAAAATTAAATATGGAAGTTCAATCCAGAAACTACTATATCTTAACGATCTATTTGAAAATTAAATAAAAAAGTAAGTTTAATAGAAAGGTAAATTGAATAAAAATGGAAGTTGATTAAAAATAAAAATGAAAGTTGCAGAAAATTAAATATGGAAGTTCAATCCAGAAACTACTATATCTTAACGATCTATTTGAAAATTAAATAAAAAAGTAAGTTTAATAGAAAGGTAAATTGAATAAAAATGGAAGTTGATTAAAAATAAAAATGAAAGTTGCAGAAAATTAAATATGGAAGTTCAATCCAGAAACTACTATATCTTAACGATCTATTTGAAAATTAAATAAAAAAGTAAGTTTAATAGAAAGGTAAATTGAATAAAAATGGAAGTTGATTAAAAATAAAAATGAAAGTTGCAGAAAATTAAATATGGAAGTTCAATCCAGAAACTACTATATCTTAACGATCTATTTGAAAATTAAATAAAAAAGTAAGTTTAATAGAAAGGTAAATTGAATAAAAATGGAAGTTGATTAAAAATAAAAATGAAAGTTGCAGAAAATTAAATATGGAAGTTCAATCCAGAAACTACTATACCTTAACGATCTATTTGGAAATTAAATAAAAAAGTAAGTTTAATAGAAAAGTAAATTGAATAAAAATGGATGTTGAATAAAAATAAAAATAAAAATGAAAGTTGCATAAAATTAAAAATGGAAGTTCAATCCAAAAACCACTATACCTTAACGATCTATTTGGAAATTAAATAAAAAGGGAAGTTGAGTAGAAAAGAAACTTGAATTAAAAAGGAAGTTATATAAAAATAGAAATGGAAGTTGCATAAAATTAAAAATGGAAGTTCAATCCAAACACCACTATACCTTAACGATCAATTTGGAAATGAAATAAAAAAGTAAGTTTAATATAAAAGTAAACTGATTAAAAATTGAAGTACAATAAAAATAAAAGTGAAAGTTGCATAAAATTAAAAATGGATGTTCAATCCAGAAACCACTATACCTTTTTTTTTTTTTTTTTGAACGGCAACGACAATCTTTATTGATGGAAGTATACAAAGAGGATACAGGACATCAATAAAGAGGAGCTTGGAGCTAACAGAAGCTCCAAGCGCCAGTTGGTGAGAAACCAACAACAAAACAAAAACTGAAAAAAAACAGAAGGGGAGCGAAATATGAAAACTAAACTACACCCAAGCCATCACCAAGCCACACTTCTAGCAAATGAGGCGTAAAGAACAAAACCAGTGCTGCTACCAATCCACTCTAACTGATAAATCTGGACAAAACCGGTGATTATACCACTGCCGAGCAACACCCAAGATTGCAGATTAGGCACCGAAGCTATACAGTGAGCAGGCCCGAGCCAAACTTAGTTGAAGCAGAAACAAAAAGAATGCCCACCCCATGCTGG